TGTTATAGGCGGGGGCAGTAAAGGTGAGAGAATCTTTCTAGGCTGAGGTTGGGAGAGACCTGAGGCCCATTCTTTCCTCAGGGATCAATGTGATAGGCCTGAATATAGTTGATGGCCCCGAAGTCTTCAAGGTGGCCCCCCAGAGGACTCTCTGGGAGGCCTAACTGCCCCCTCCAGATGTGTTGGGAGACTGGCCATAGTCCTAGCTAGCCCCAGGTAGGGCCTGGAGTCCCCCAGTTAAGACCTCAGTTAGATGCAGTCCATGGAGTTCTCGGGGAGGAGGCCAGAGATGCAGCCAGGGAGCCCCAAGCCCTTGACAGGGGTACAGCTGATAGGGAGGCTGCAGCTTAGGGCAGGGTCCTGGTTCTCTATGGCCTCCAGCCTGTCCGTGTTGTTGTCCCAGTTGATGTGGAAACGGGTTACTCGGGGATTCGAGGCCAAGATGTTCCGTTGGAGCTGGGGCAGGAAGAGAAATGTCAACTGTCAGCATGCCCTCTCATTACTCCCACAAAGCCAGGGCACCCCTAGTCTCCCATCCCAGACCCATGAAGAGCAGACCTTGCTTATTCCATCACCAACAATATGTGTGGGACTCCAGGGAATGCCTGTGCACCAGGACCTATCTAATCTTAATTCTGCAAGGCATGCTTCTGAGAAACAAAGACCTCTCTCTCTGAGCACTACTTGAAAACTTTAAGTGACCTTGGCTCCTGAATCAATCCAATGACTCAACTCCCCCCAAATACAAAGGAGCCAGATGATCTAGAGCAGGGAGTGGAGAGCAACCCCACCTGAGAGAAGTCTGGTTTTGGGGGTGGGTTTTCCCGCAACTCTGGGTCGGGGTACTCATTGTTGACGTAGTAGCCCACACGGATGAACTCCTGCCCATGATAGGTGCAGGTGATGAGGACCACGGTCACACCAATGGCGTCGCTCTCAGGGATGAGGGATGGGTTGGGAGCATCGGCCTAGGGAAAACACATCCTGAGCTTAGAACGGTCAGCTCTGAATTCAATGTTAATGAATCAACAATAATAGGTATTTAAACACACCTAAAACAAGGTTCTGTGTTGACTGGTTGCCAAAAATGTGAGATATAGAAACCTAGCCCTGTATGTTCTATGGGGCCATGGTTCAGTATTCACTAATATACTGTTCACAGCAGGTTTACAGAATGTAACTCCTGTGAATAATGAGGATCAACTGCGAATCCGTGGTTCATGGTAACAGTCATGACAAAGAGATGGAGGAAAGAGAGGTGTTTGAAGTACCGTTGAGAGGTCAGACAGCTCTTGAGAACAGAGCGAGAATGTGAACCTGAACTTCAGACCACTAAACCACACTGTGTGCTTTTGGGTAGAAGAGGATGTTTCTAGGTGTCAAAGCCTAAGGCCTCCTTTCTTACCTGAAAGACGAACATGTGTCTCCCTGCTGGGATAGGGCCGACCAGCACTGAGTCTAGGATTTGATCAAACTCCTCACTCTCAGCTGAGCCAACATAAATTATCTTCCACTCTAGGTCTGCAAGGACATAGGGTGTTAGGGAATTGAAATAACGTGACAGCAAGAAGGCAGAGAAAGGGTCTTCTCATGTCAGTTTTGGAGAGATCCTTAATGTGGTGCGAGATTCTTATTCTCAACAACACCTGACATCCCTGGGCACTCCGTGCCAGGCACTGCAGTCCGGAACACTGGGCAGGCAGGAAACTCTGACTTCCAGTGCGAGTGGGAAATTTCTCCTATGGGCTTAGCTTTGCCAGGCGACCTTGACTCTGCACCTCCAGGGAAACTCAGGCCTCTCAGAGCCTGAGGGCAAACCGTATGGCAGAGGCTGAATTAAGACCCACGTGACAGAGGCGTGCTGAGGAGGGAACAGCAGGGAGTTGGGCCATTTCAGGGCCCTGCCCACTGGGTACTGGGATAGGAAGCAGCATCCTCTTTCACACACAGGGACCGGTGCCACAAAACTAAGTAGATCCCTCGACAACTGGGGCAGGGCAGCAGATTCCAATACAGCAGGACAGCCAGCCGGCAGGAGGGGGAAGACAAGGCTGCCGTGGGAGTCAGCCAGGCCCCCAGGTCTTTTAGATCCAGCACCAAGTCATGCCTGTTTATTGGCCATTGGGTGACCCATGACTCAATCAACAAGTGTGGCATCATAGGTGATCCTCTTAACTCCAACTCTCTTGTATCCCATCCAGTAGAGGGGACCCCATCCCTCAGTATGTTCCAGCAAGATTAAAGGAAAAGTGCTTAAGGAGACCTTGCCCATCAATCACAGGAAATTCCCAGTGACCACTGCCTCTTGCAAGAGATCCAAGTGTACCAGGGGCAAGGTCACATTAGTACAGGGAAGCTTGGCAGGAGACCTGAAACTTATTTTAGGTTCTCTGAAATTACACAACCTACCACTCCAGCAACTGGGGGAAGTTTCACAAGCTGTGATTTTCACAGGAAGCAAATGCTCTTGGAAGCTGCCCTGTTCCCTGGTCCAGTGTCCTGCAAGTGCATCCAACTTCGGAAGCACACTGATGCCGGGCCACAACTACGGAGGTCGGTCATCTGAGCCCCAAGCTCTTCCTCGATACACTGGCTTCCTGTCCCTTTGCAGTTTCACCCAGGCCTACTCGGGGACTCTATCAGATTTGAGATACAATGACACCCGCCCACTCCAGGCTCACCGGGGTTCAAACTCTAGTATCTTTTATTATTTGCAGGGAGGATTAAGTTTATTGATCTATTTTTGTTACAAGTGGTGACATAACTAGACATGTTTGGAACCAACAGAAAATCAGCTAGCTGTTCTCACCTTTCTCACACAGGTCTAGATTTTGGTATCTTTCCTATCTTTCCTTCTGGTCTCTCCCCCATCACCAGTTGGAATCACACGTGTGTGCATTTAATTAATGTGCTGGGGAGGAGAGATAAAAAGAAGACGGAAAGAGAGCAGGCTTAGGGCACACCAAAGGCACTTGATGTTCAATACTGTTAGGCAAATCTGAACAAAGACTGTATGGGTGCTGACTGGAAGAGAAAACACACTGAATGGGTGGCCAGGCAAGCAGGCCACAATAGATCCCTCAATACCGCAGAAATTAACCAAGTAACTAATGGGTGATGAGAAAAATATTAACTCAAAAGTTGGAGGAGCTGATAAAATCATCTACAGGACAAGAACAGAACCTATAAATTGGAATCATCTTAAAGTTGAAGTGTTTTAAGTGCCATCATTTTTTAATATAACCGTTCTTTAGAATTAGATATGGAATATCAGTCACCAATACAGCACAAACTCACTCCTATAAAACACAGGTCACAATTATATACATGTAACATGCGTACTTAACCTTCAGGGCAATTTCTTTTTTTCTTTTAAATATGTTTTTATTTAATTTTTTTTTAGAGAGAGGAAGGGAGAAGGATAGAGAGCTAGAACATCAGTGAGAGAAAAACATCATCAAGCGGCTGCCTCCTGTGTGGCACCCACTGGGGATGGAGCACGAATGCTGGCATGTGCCCTGATGGGGAATTGAACTGGTGACCTTTTAATTCATGGGTCGATGCTCAACATCTGAGCCACACCAGCCAGGAACCTTCGGGGCAATTTCAAAGATAATTTGACTACATTTCATTTTGTCTTTACACTCTATGATCTAACCACTGCACAAGATGTTCCTCCACCATCTATGAAAACGAAACCAAAACCAACGGCATGATAAAAGACATGTGTAGTTGAAATAGCTGAGGAACCTGTTTCCTGCCTTTAAAAAAATTTATCCAGTAGGTCTTTTTCTGTTTGTCATTTTATTTTTGTTCATAATAAAGATGAACTTTGGCCTGACCATAGCTGTGGGTCAGGTCATCTGGCCCCATGACTTATTCCAGCAGTGCCTGTTGAATTTCTCAATTGAAGAGGGCAGAAGGACAAACCTAATGTGCTAAACGTGGACCCATGTTTTTGGAAGCATCTATTTCCAGACGCTGAGGACAAAAGAGAGCAAAAGGTGTCTTGTCAGATCTGTAGTTGCTAGTGTCAACATAACAAGACTGAGATTCTAAAGGCAGGTCCACTCTATTTTTTTTTGGGGGGGGGGCAGGCAGAAATCAAATTCCTTTTGCTCTGTGGGAAGAGTCAGAAAGCAAGTTTGATAGGTTAGAGCCCTAAGGGTAAGAACCACAGCCTGGATTTTCAGGCCAGAGTTACTTCCCAACTTGAGTTTCTCTGGGCAAAAGCTGGTGTAATTAATAATAGTACCCGCTTTGCTCTCTTTTGAGAGTCCAGATGTGGAAATAAATTCTATGATCAGTTCTATTTATGTTCCACTTTTAAAACAGAGGATGCAATCTCTCCCAGGTTTTAGTAAAGATAAAGAACCCTGGACTCAGGCTCTGGCTGGTTTAGCTTGGTGGATGTAGCATCAGCCTGTGGAGTGAAGGGTCCTAGGTTCAGTTCTGGTCAAGGGCACATGCCTGGGTTGAGGGCTCGACCCCCGGTAGGGGGTGTGCAAGAGGCAGCAAATAGATGATTCTCTCTCATCACTGATGTTTCTCTTTTCCTCTCCCTTCCTCTATGGCAGTGGTTCTCAACCTTCCTAATGCCGCAACCCTTTAATACAGTTCCTCATGTTGTAGTGACCCCCAATTTCATTGTTACAAATTGAACATAATTAAAGCATAGTGATTAATCACAAAAACAATATGTAATTATATATGTTTTCTGATGGTCTTAGGCGACCCCTGTGAAAGGGTCGCTCGACCCCCAAAGGGGTCGCGACCCACAGGTTGAGAACCACTGCGCTATGAAATCAATAAAAAAAAAAAAAAAGAACCCTGGACTCAGAACAAGCCCTAAAATGTCAATTATTCTACCAACCAGCTATGTGACCTTGGAGAAGTCAGTCTGCTTCTCTCTAGTAAAATATAATGACCAGCAGGTTGACTTTGGACCTCAACTCTGATTCTATAAACAGATTATTAAATAACAGCAGGGGCTTCCTAAGAATACAAAAACTAGATAATGACCACACAGTTACTTTTAAATGCAAGGAGCACAAGCAGGCTAACTGAAACCTGATCTCCTGCCATTTGGGAACTGTGAATCCCTTAACCCATTAGCTCCTTTTATCTCCTCTTGGCTTTAAAACGAAATCTTATTACATAGTGACATTCTACACTTAATTTATTTACACCCTGCCTTGCTACAGAAAGGATTTAGCTGGACTTATTCTATAGTTAGCCACAAATAGACGACATAATTTAAAAAGAAGAGAAACTAGGGAGAGACTGACCCATTGGCCCAGGGCACACAAACATCTCCAACCCTAAACTAACCCAAGTGGCTGGCTTTGCAAGCAAACTGCCCAACTACCGCCTAGAGGTGCTGATTAGTACACCCTGGCTTCCCAGGTCTCCACTCTCCAGCTGCTGCCTCTTCGCTTTTTAACCACCAAGTGAAGAAGTGGTTGGATGGAGTACAGTCGTACCTCAGAGATACTGTGGGTTCAGTTCCGCCCCACCATAATAAAATGAGTAGTGATCTTTTTGCTGGTGAGTCTTATCTTCAATTTGTAAAAAATGCAACATCTGTGAAGTGCAATAAAACAGAGGTAAGCCTGTACTTCCTCCTGAAAGGGGTGGCAAGACTTCCTGGGTGACCTTAAATTTTTAGATTTTTATAGACCTTTCCTTGAAAGGTCTTTCACTTTTTGTGGCTTCCATCTTTTCATCTGTGAGATGAGAGCCATGTCTACCTTTATGTCACACAGATGAGTAAGTCCATCTATGAAGGCACCTTGGAAAAGATGCCCCAAAGGCTGTGACCTCCTAGCTGATTGTTTGAAGTTGGATACCAACATGGTTCGGCCCACCCCACTCGACCGAACCTCCAGATCTGGGGTCAGACCAACAAAAGTGCTAAAAGAATTGCGGCTGTAGGTCAGCTGGAACCTGGTGCGCGCAGTGGGAACTGTGCAAGCATGTCAAACTCGGGGCCAACAGATAACATGCCTCCTTTATGTTTGACGTGCTCGGATGATTGCCTGGCTAGCCCACTCTTAAATTTGAGTGTGTCCATCAAAGCCCACAGCCAGGGAAGAGTGAAGAATGGGAGCTGGGAGACTAAGTTATCCTCAAAGACTGGAGCTGGCAGCTAGGCCGGTTGGAGCTCAAGGAGAGGATTGGGGCCAGGCTGAGGAGGAGGGAAGCCAGGTTCTAGGGCAGTGATGGCGAACCTTTTGAGCTCGGCGTGTCAGCATTTTGAAAAACCCGAACTTAACTCTGGTGCCGTGTCACATAAAGAAATTTTTTGATATTTGCAACCGCAGTAAAACAAAGATTTATATTTTTGATATCTATTTTATATATTTAAATGCCATTTAACAAAGAAAAATCAACCCAAAAAATGAGTTCCCATGTCACCTCTGACACGCATGTCATAGGTTCGCCATCACTGTTCTAGGGCATGTGTGTTGGGATAGAAAACAAGGAGAAATTGGTGGGGTATTTTAAGTATCAGAGGTTGGGGAGGGGATTATTGTATGACAAACGGGGAGATGGGGTGAGTGAGGTCGTGTCACAGGGTGAGGGTCTTTCTTCACAGGGATAAAGGGTGATAGGAGGGGTTCCACTGGGAAAGTTGGGAAGGTGCCTGGGAGAGAGGCCTCTTACAGGGAAACTGGGGGAGGAGGTTAAGGTTTCCACAGGCAATGGGAGGGGGCTGGGGGCTGGAGTCTCCCTAGGAAAAAAGTGCGGTGGGAGTGTTTCGCCAAAGAAGAGATAGGTGGAGAAGTCTGAGTGGCTGTAACGTTAATATAAAAATCTTCTATACAGAAATAGAAGATGGGGTGGTTGAGGGTCTCTGCAGGTTAAAGATTGGCGGCTGAAGCTTCTATATAGAAAACGGGAACCCAGAAGCTCCGCAGGAAAAAGTGTGGTTTGGGAGGATGGGAGAATGAGGTCTCCCCCGTGGGAAACGTGCGTATCCGTGGGGGGAGGGAGGGAAGGGGAGAAGGGATCGGATTGGCCGTGGGGTGGGGGTAAGAGGTAGCCTCCACGCAGAGGTTAGAGCTGGAGAGGAGAGAGGGGGGTAAGATCGGAATTTCGGGGGTTATTTCACAGAGGCGGTCGAGGTTGGCCGCGAGGGTCTCTACGGAAAAGTCGGGTAGGCCACGGGACCCGGGGGGAGGGGGCAGTGTCCACACAGGCCCAGCCTCACCGTCCGCCAGAGCCTCATTGCACTCGAAGCTGATCTCGAACCGGAAAGGGCTGTGGAAAGGGCTCGGATTCTCCAGCACCGCCACGTTCAGCACCGATACCTTGGCCATCGCCTCGCCGCCGCGACTGAAGCCGAGGCTGGGTCCGAGCCCACGCCTGGATCCTGTAGGATCAGCGGGACAGCGTTGCCCACAGAGCCTCCCGCCGACTCGGTCCGTAGACTGAACTGCGTATACCCTCCGCGCGCCTCCTTCAAATAGCTGGCCGCACCCTCCGACCAATCACCGTAAACGCTCCCCGGCGGCGTGAGCACCCTCTTAGCCAATCCTGGAGCGCCGGAGGCGTGCGTCGAGGCTCTCCGGACCAATCCGCGGAGCTCCCTCTCCGGGCTGTGCGAGGGAGGCGGGATCACCTCTTGGCTTCTTTGGATATCCGCCGGGAACCAATCCCCAGCGTCTCAAGACTCAGAGAACGAAGGCGGGGGTAGGCGGAGTCAGAGCACCAGGCTCTTGTCGGCCAATCCTGAGGGTTCCCGCACCAGCGTGGCCCGCCCTTCGCATAACCCTTCCGGGAGACGCATCTCAAGGGGCGCAGCGCCGCCAACTGCCGAGCGGTGGCGCGCGGCGCTCGCTTAAGAGGGCGGGAAGGGCGGTGCTCGAGTCCGCGGTGATTGGCAGGTGAGAATGGGCGGTGATAAAGCAGAATTTTTGAGAGGTTATTGGCTGAGAAGTCTCGCGGGGCGGGAGGAGAGGAAGACTTGGCTTGGGATTCGTGAGAAAGGAGCGGAAGTCGGCCCGCCCGCGCGGTGGAGCGGGGTGTGAAGAGAAAGAAGGGGTGTTTGCAGCCTCGGCGCCTGTCAACAGGTGAGCGTTAACCAGAAGTTTCTCGGAGGGGCTCCTGGCCCCTTAGGCCCAGCGGCGGCGGAGTCCGTTGTGAACGTTGTGACTCACCCCTGAAGGCAGGTGGAGCAGCGGTACTGCGGCGCTAGGGCCCGGGACCTGGCTGTCAGCCCAGTTCGAATCCCTCCCTCGCCTCGTGGGCCGCTGGGAGTCGTGTCAGGTGCACACCGCTGTAAGTAGGAGTTCGAGTCCAGCCTCTGCTGGAGTGAAGGGTCTCATCATTAATGTTTAAGCATAGTGATTAATCACAAAAACAATTATGAAGTCACTGATTTGTGACTTCATAATACATCTAGAAACTTGTCTCCATTTCCATGCCTTGCGGGCCACCGTTGCCCCTGCCAGGAAGACTCCTGGGGCCTCCGCACCCGCGCTCTCTGCTCCCACCCGCGACCAATGGAAATAACTCATGCCACCTACTTAATCTTAATTTGTTTAGTAATTACGTTTTTAAAAAGTTTAAAAAACATCAAAACACATTGTGGGTGGGTGGGTGGATGAGTGGTTAGAGCGTAGGTCGGCGCACCTGAAGGGCCCTGGATTCGATTCCTGGTCTGGGGTATGTACCCCCGTTGCAGATTGGATCCCCGACCCGGTTGGGGCCTGTGCGGGAGGCAACAATCATGGATGTGTCTCTCTCACATCTTTGTTTCTTTCTCCCTCACTCCCTCTTCCCCTCCACTCTCTCTAAAACTCAATGGAAAAAATATCCTGACAATTTAAGGGAAAAGAGGTCATTGCTCCCGAGGACTTAAAAAAATGTTGTATTTAATCCAGTATAACCAAAATATTTCAGAGGTGGTGGGTATAAAAAATACAAATGAGGTAACTTACGTTATTTTACTCTGCACAAGGTCTGTGAAATCCCATTCTTTTTACAGCTACATTTTCTTTTCTTTTTAAAAATATATTTTATTGTTTTTTTTACAGAGAGGAAGGGAGAGGGGTAGAGAGTTAGAAACATCGATAAGAGAGAAACATCGATCAGCTGCCTCCTGCACACCTCCTACTGGGGATGTGCCCACAACCAAGGTACATGCCCTTGACCAGAATCGAACCTGGGACCCTTCAGTCCGCAGGCCGACGCTCTATCCACTGAGCCAAACCGGTTAGGGCTACAGCTACATTTTCATCAGAAATAGTTGGTTTGGCTTTAAGTTTTATAACATTTACAGTTGAAAATGTAAATTCTCATGCCCAAGCCTTCCCATGAAAAGTGTTCCATGAGCTCAGTTGCATATTGGTTTTTAAATTGAAATGTTAGTTAACTAAAATTAAGTGACATGGAAAGTTCTGTTTAACAATGGAAGTAGCTATATTCAGCTGCTCATGAGCCCTTATGGCAAGTGGCTATTGTATTATTGGACAGCAAAGATCAAATTGGATTAGTCACTCTCCTGCTTATAATGCGAGTGATTTTCTATTTTTCTCAGCATGAGAACACAATCACCCCTTTGGCTCCACTGCCCCCATGCAACAGTTTTGCTTTTCAATGGTTCAGTTACCTGCCTCAATCTTGGTACGAAAATATGAAATGGAAAATTCCAGAAATAAACAATTCATGTTTTAAATAGTTCACTGTTCTGATTATCATGATGAAAAGTGAAATCTCCCCTTGGATGGTGTGGCTCTGTTGGTTGGGCACTGAAGGGTCATAGGTTCGATTGCCTGTCAGGGCACATACTCAGGTTGCAGGTTCAATCCCTGGTCAGAGTGTGCGGAAGGCAACCAACTGATCAATGTTTCATTCTCACATTGATGTTTCTCTTTTACTCTCTGTCTCTAAAATCAATAAAAATGTAAAAAATAAACACGTAATACCTGACTATTTAGTCAGGGGGCACTGACTGCTTTTCCCTTAGATTGTCAAATAAAAAAATGACAACAGCCAACACAACAATAGTCATCTGATGCAAATGAATCAAAATTATACCTATATATTTTTTTTGTCAGATCAACAAAACATATATTTTTTGGTCTACCGCAGAATTTTAGTTTGTGTGCCATGAGATGAAAAATGTTGAAAATCACTGATCTAGCATATCAGAGAGACCCCCCCATTCACATAACATTTATTAAAGTAATCGTTATAATTGTTCTGTTTTATTATTAGTTATTGTTAATTTCTGACTGTGCCTGATTTAGAAATTAAACTATCATTGGCATGTGTGTATAGGAAATAACAGTATATTTAGGGATATATATTCATAGTTTTAGGCATCCTCGGGGGATCTTGGAACTGTCTGCCTCTGCTAAAGGGGCACTACTGTATTGTCTTTAAGACTCTACATGCTTTGTTTCCTACAACCCACAAGCCCCAACTTCAGGCCAGCCAAATTGACCCTCTCTTTGTTCCTTAAAAATCTGACATAGCACTCCCAGCTCAGAACTTCTAACTAGATTCTCTTCTCCTAGTTCCTGGGATGGTTGGTGCCTTCTTGTCATTTATGTCTTGCTGTTTAAATATCCTCTTCTCAGAGAAGCCTTTCCAGGGTCCCCTGGACCAGTGGTCGCCAACCCGTGGTCCGCTGCCCTGGACAGCGTTCATACACAGAGTATAGGCCTGAATAGCACTGATCCAGCTTACTAGCATATCTTATCCAGCCACCTCTGGGCCCCCCTAGAGTCTTAAGGCTACATATATTTTTGTA